TGCAGGGGCAGGAACCAGGGCTACGTCACCCAAAGGGCTCTAGGATGGCACATGCTGCTGCCTTGTGAAAACACAGGTGTGATCACAACTATAAGCATTTATAAAATCCGAAACCTTTGCTAGTAGTCGGAGGGTTTCTCATGTGACCATGGGCCAATAGTTTTCCATGCACCTGGGCTATGGGCTTTGTTTGGGACAGCAAAATTCCAAGAGGGCCATGCTACTCTGGAGTAGAGCAGGTAAGATCACACATCTTCTGGAGTGACACAGGCCTTGTGGTGGAGAAAGCAAGACACAACCTTAAGTGACAGAATAAACGCTCCCCGCTGTCCAGCAAGAAATCCTCAGGAAGAAGAATATTTAACATTTTAATAAATAAAAGGAAATGAACCACTTCAGGTCAGAAACTGTGTGGGCAGGCAAGATAATGTGTCTTAATTAGCTCCAAGAATAAAGGTTTAGGGGCTGGAAGCTAGAACATTAGATGACTAATTAACCAAGCTGAAATACGGGAGACAGGAAAATTCTAACCTTCATTACGCTGAAAACTCCCTCAAATACACTGGCCTATGGACAAAAGTAGGATATTTCTAGGGTCTTAAATAGACACAACATGCTTAATGATTTTGATAGTCAATAATCTCCTGTGAGTCATGAGAGCAGAAATTTCCAAGTTACTATTTATAACAGGGTCTCCGTGCATGGATGTGGGGTGAGCAGGAATAGAGAGAGTAGCAGCAGCGATGTCGTGGTCTATTATAGGCCACCAAATGGGAAACGGAACGTGGATGAGTCATTCTTCAAGTAGGCAACTAATTGACATACGTGAGCTAGTAATAAGGGGGATGTCAACTTCCTAGATACCCACTGAAAGTACAGCCCGCAAGTTTGAGCATCTGCATAAGAATGACGATTCCAGGACAGACCAAAGGTCCACCTAGCCCAGCGCCCGTCTTGTGAGCATGGCCAATGCCAGAAGCTTCATGTATATGTGCAGGGGTGTGCCCCGGGCTCCCAGGACAGGTGTGATTTTCCAAACGGTCTCTCATCCCCCGGGATCATTTCAGACAACCAGCTGACGACAATGCTGCTTCATATTTGGCAGCAATTCATTACACTGTGTCCACTGAGGCCCCTTACCAGAGTACAGAGAACAACGCTCCGGGACGTACCTGGCTCCCCCACCTCCGAGCACCAGGGCCACAGCATTGCCAGTCAAAACACGGGCGAGGCGAGAGAAGTCCGAGTGGCGGTCCGGGGGTTTCTGAAACACACGCTCGTACATCTCGATCTGCAGGAAAGAGAAAGGGCAGCTGGCATTCAGTGCACCACTGGGGAGCAGGCAGGCAGAGCACCGCAACTTCGCTACCGCTGTCCCCGGGGGAGCCAGACTCCAGTGAGCCAGCTTTGTAGCAGCTCAAGCCACTACGTTACCAGGCTACCTTGGCAAGCGTGAGCACAGGAGCTGGAACTAGGGGGCTGGCAGCTGTTTCCATTCCACGCAGGGCTCCCAGCTGGGTCACAGCTCTCCGCAACCCCAGGATGCAAAGTGTTCCCGCACCTCTGAGCGGGGGCTCTGATGGAGGCTAGAGTGCGAGTCCGCTCCGGATGCTCTGCCCACTCGGCCTTGCCTGCCAGCTCCTGAAGCCTCTCCCAGGCAGAACCCCGCGCTTTGCAGATAACTAGTGACCCCCCCCGGTCCTGAGTTCCCCAGACGCCTCCCCCTGCAGCACCCTGCCCCCCCCCCCAGTCATCTCCCTGCAGTGCCCTGCCCCCTCCCCGGATGCCTCCCCTGCAGCACCCTCCCCTCCTCAGCCGCCTCCCCCCGCAGCATCCCACCCCCTCCCCAGCCATCTCCCTGCAGCGCCTTCCCCTCCCCAGACTCGCAGAAGTTCAGTTCTCCAAAGACAACACCACCAGGCCGCTAGCTCAGCTAAAGACTCGCAGTCAGTGTGACTGCTGGGTAGGGCACTAAGGGGCACCAGCCATGTGAGCACCCTCCCCCCACGGCTCCTCCCCAAGCACCCTTAGCCCGGGAAAGTGCCTCACTTTTCTGCCCTACCCCCTCCATTCCACCCTTTCCCCTGCAAGCCTCAGCCCAGGGGACAAGTGGGGAGTGGGCGATGGCAGCACAGATCCTACCCTCACTTGTGGGGGAGGGAGGGGGAAGAGTGCCCTAGCCCCAGCCCGCTTTGTTCTCCCTGCTCGCAGCAGCGCAGCCTTTACTCATCCAAACCTAGCGCAGTGACATGCACTACACATCCCTGAAGGTTGGCAGGGGAGGTGCTGGCACGTGGGGACACCTCACAGACGTGGGTAACACAATCGAAGTCGGGCGAGCGGGTGGAGTGCATGGCAAAGTGAACGCAGGGGCGTAAAGGCACCGTTTAGAAAGCGGAAGTTAAATCCGAGGGGGAATAGAAAGGGCAAAGACGTGCAGAACCGGAATTAGGGAGGCCAACAAGGAATCTGGAGACCAGCTCACCAAAAACTCAAATGGTAACAGCAATGTTTTAAATGCATCAGAAGCAGGAAGCCGGTGAAACAGCCAGCAGGGCCACTGCACGATGGAGACGCTAAAGGGGCACTCAAGGCCAAGAATGACACTGCTGAGACACTAAATGGATTCTCTGCATCCATCCTCATGGCTGAGGCCACGAGGGAGATGCCCAAACCGGAGCCATAACTTCTAGGGGACAGATCTGAGGAAGTGTCCCAGATGGAGGTGTCACAAGAGGTGGTTTCAGAACAAGCTGAGGGTGCTTCACCCACGCAGTGCCATGTAACAAGGGCAGAGCCACGAGGCCAACTAGGACGCTGGTATGAGAAACCTCGAATCGGGAGTGCAGGGGTTCGAGGAAACCTAGAGTGGAGACCCGCAGGGACGCGACTTTCGCAGTAACACTTCCCCGCCCACCCAGAACAGAAGAATTCAAGCACCTGATAAAAACATGAAGAGAAACAGGAGACGCATTTATTTCACAGCCAAATGAGCACTTGCAAAGTCCTGTCAAACACCTTCAACTCTGAGGCCGAGTCAACACACAAGCTCTCTGCTAATTAATTACTGAGCTTAGTAAGACGCCTGAGTTTCTTCCTGAAGAGAAACTACAGCACGCAAGACATAAACAAAAGCAAATGATGCATCCATAAGCTGCATTCAGAATTCATAAGCTGGGGGGGGAGGAGGAGGCAAGAAAACGGGTAAATGTGGAGAACAGCCACAGACATGGTGTTACTAGAATATTAAGGAGTCTGGGCTTTAATATGAGCAATTATTTTAGTGCAAATGCTGTTAACAGTCGCACTTGCACAACTGGTACTATGGGCAGTAGGAGGGAAGGGCCACAGGACTATCATGACTGACGTACAATGGGTGGGTTTTCTCCTAGAAGGTCAGAAGGGAGATCTAAGCTGTTCACGTGGCAGGTGTCGAAGATGCACTCACAAACTCTCACCTGGGGGCTGTAACTTACACGGCTAAAAATAATGAAAGTTCCCTTTTTAAATGTATGATTGCTCCCCTCTCTGGATGCTGAAATAGTAGATCTTGTGGAGCAATGCAGGACAGGCCACAACCAGTGCGCACGCGTAACTGACGACGGTTAACTTGCACGCAAAAGCCAAACGTTCTTCTTTATTGGTGCGTTACCTAATCCCCCAGGGACAATCCACTAGGAGCAGACCCCGATGGACCTACAGGACCCCTCTCTCCAAGCAGCAACAGATGATGGGGCTGGCCCTTAGCGGGTCTCAATCCTGTATTGGCCACTGGAGATCCATACGAGAGCGGTCAATCGAAGACGCCGTCTCCCAGCTGCTGGACAATGGTGCACATGCCCAGAGGAGCCTGCGCTAGGATAGCACAGCCAACGACTCTGAAGCCTCTGGATTTTTGTGAGTCTATATCCATTCCATAGCAAGATACGGAGGTGCTGTACGGCCCTGACCGTGTGGCTGTCAGATCACAGGCGCTAGTGCGCGGGTGAACCTAAGGACAAGGTAGCACAAGCGTCTCTTCCCTCCCCCCTAAGTGTGGCTGACAGCATTGCCAGGGAAAGTATTCGGGCGACTGTGCACCAGCGCACACACACGCCTGACGAGTGGCCATAGAATCATAGAATAATAGGACTGGAAGGGACCTCGAGAGGTCATCGAGTCCAGCCCCCCGCCCTCAAGGCAGGATCAAGCTCCGTCTACACCATCCCTGACAGATGTCTATCTAACCTGTTCTTAAATATCTCCAGAGAGGGAGATTCCACCACCTCCCTTGGCAATTTATTCCAATATTTGACCACCCTGACAGTTAGGAATGTTTTCCTAATGTCCAATCTAAACCTCCCCTGCTGCACTTTAAGCCCATTACTCCTTGTCCTGTCCTCAGAAACCAAGAGGAACAAATTTTCGCCTTCCTCCTTGTGACACCCTTTTAGATATTTGAAAACCACTATCATGTCCCCCCTTAATCTTCGTTTTTCCAAACTAAACAAGCCCAGTTCATGAAGCCTGGCTTCATAGGCTTCTCTAGACCTTTAATCATTCTTGTCGCTCTTCTCTGTACCCTTTCCAATTTCTCCACATCTTTCTTGAAATGTGGCGCCCAGAACTGGACACAGTACTCCAGCTGAGGCCTAACTAGCGCAGAGTAGAGCGGCAGAATGACTTCACGAGTTTTGCTTACAACACACCTGTTAATACAACCTAGAATCATATTCCAGGTGCTATCACAGTTCCACATTAACCAGGCCATTTTCCTGTTTTCTACTCCAGAGGCTTAGGGTGCAGCCCAGGAACTGCTGCGTTTAACAGCACCGTTCTCCCCTCTCCCCGCCCCAGACGGGAGATGGCGCCGGCTGTCCCCCAGCGCCCTCCAGAGGAAGACTGCCATGATGGCCTGTCATCCCTGTCACTGGTCTGCCAACGCGAGGCACCGGAGCAGACACAGCTGCCTCGACACTCTCCAACCCGTAGGCACCAGCACTCAATGCCCAGAAGCACAGCTCCTCCACGAGCCTCTGGGTCCGACACCCCGGAGTCACTCGCCTCGAGCCTGCAGGAGCAGAAGATCCTCTGAGACCGACCCTCTTTCCCGGCACTGTGGCCTGTGCACTGGCAGCCCCCGTGCAACGGCCTTTTGGACTCCCTGGGCTTTCCATCAGGGCCAAGGCAGAGTCCAGAGCCCCGTTCCACTAACAGCCACAGCGTCAGCCCCTTTCGTGTCCCACCCCCAGCACAGGCACATTGGAGCTGACAGTGGCTGCTCCACTGTGACCACCCCTTCCCCAGCAATGGTGGTCCTGGCATGGCAACAGTGGGTCTATCGCCACCACCCGGGGCACCAGCCAAAGAGTCTGTTGTGACATGTGCCCACTTGGAATGGACAAGAAAACAGCTCCCCTTTGTGGGGGGGTGTCTATTCACCTAGGAGGGGGGAAGCACTGGCATGGGGTCCCGAGGGAGGGGTGGAATCGCCATCCCTAGAGGTGTTTAAGTCCCGGCTTGACAGAGTCCTGGCTGGGATGGTTTAGCTGGGGCTGGGCTTGCTTTGGGCAGAGGGCTGGACTCGATGACTCCTGAGGTCTCTGCCCACCCAGGGGTTCTACCTTGTCCTCTACGGATGAGGCGTTCATGGGCAACTACTGCGCCAGCCCCTTGGGACCACAGAGTTACCAACAGTTGCTACAGCAGGTTGCCCAGGGCTTGGCCAGTCAGACAGGGACTGGTGGAGGTTGCTGATGCTGTGGTGAACTCCTCACCCCTCAGCCCTACAAAGGGGCTGTGGCAGACACCAGCCTCGGTGCATCCTGCAGATAAGCGCAATGAACAGCGCTATTTTGCGCGTCCCTCTGAGACCGAGAGGCACCTCTCGGAATATTCGTCTCCTGACTCGCTTGTGGTCGATGCTGTGAAGCAATGGGAGTGTCAGGGCTTTCGGGGACCATCCCCAAACAGCAGGAAGTGAAATGCCTAGACCTGTGCGGGAGAAAGAGCTATCCAATGGTCGCACCTCGCTCAGCATTTCCAACCAGCAGGCACGGCAAGGACACCTGCAGAGCCACGGGACTCCTGGAGCAGAATTCTTGGCGCTGGTCAAGGAAGGAAAGCTCACGTCTAAGCACCAAGCCAAGCTACACTGGATTCCGTGGATGCTATCACCAGCATCATGGCTCTGGGCGCCACCATAAGGGGCTCATGGCTCCAGGTCTTGGGCCTACCGTAAGAGACCCAACAAAAATTCAGGGCCTCGCATTCAAAGGCCCATCTCTTCTCTGTGAAGACGGACAAGAGGCTACGCAGCCTGAAGGACCTGAGAGCTACTTTCCAGTCTTTGGGCATTCGTATTCCTGCCCCTCGGTGAAAGCACTTTGCCCCTCGTCCTATAACGAGTCTCCAGGCCAGGCTGAGCTATTCCCCTGCCCTCGTGCTGGTCAGTCATTGAAGTGCAGCTCCCTTGCTGGACAATGGTTGCTGATGGGCGCTTTTGCACCCGGCACGGGTACGGATTGCTTCCTTGCTGTTGCCTCTGGGGAGCTAATACCTGGCTGAATCCCCAATTTACAGAATGTTTTAGCGACAACCACACAACACAATCTTACAACCTCACAGGCATTAATGAGATACAGTTATGGATAAAGTGACCTTTCCCCGATCCCGCACCTGGCCCGCTTTATAAGCAATATTACAGATATACACAGACAAGGCCTATGGGGGCTGTGGGGCACCCCCTAAAGTACTGATGTCACAGTAGCTTTAGTCCCCACCACAACAGCAACCCCAGGATCTCTATTTGGTCCCACAACAGATTAGGTCAATCGAAGCAGACACTCTCCTGGCAATACCTTCCCCAACACAAGATGCCCTGACGCTGTCCCCGTTACCCGTAACGAACAGTGAAGGTAGTGCTCGTGCCGACAGCACTGACCGACGACCGGCTCCATGAGACAAGGGCCCCTTACCAGCTTGGGCAGGCTCCTTCGGGAGAAGACTCGGCGGGGACAACGGAGGTGAAGATGAGCTGAGCACCAGCTCCTCATGTTGAGCCACTCCACAGTTCGGCAAGGGAGGGGCCCATCCTCTTTATGGAGCAGGATCAGCTGCTTCTGGGCTCGGACCGCTGTGTTCTCCAGCATCCTCTCCAGCTGAAACACCATCCACACAAAGTCACCTCTCTCCCACGACCGGGCCGAGCCGCCAAAGCACGGCACTTCCCCCTGTAGGTCCCTGCCCCTCCCCGTCACCTGCATCCGCAGCAAGCTGCGCCAATGGGGCCACAGACGAATCAGACACAGGTAATTCAGGCTGGGGGTGAATGCCTCTGCATTCACGTGGCTATTCCCAACAATGCTAGCAAGCTAATTTCTCTCTGCTTGGGACTCCTAACGAGCTGTTTACAGTAAACGAGTTGAACACTATTTCCATACAATGCTGACTGCTCACCCACACAAGGCAGACAGAACGCTCAGATCACATGAAATCTACTCCTGAGCTGATAAAAAGTCAAGTTTAAAAATGCTTACTGCCATTTACAGTTCTCAGACTATTTTACACGAGGCCACATTTCTCAAATAGTCTTTTTTCCTCTTTCCTTGCCATCTTTACTTATCCTAGCTGGGCTCACAGCACTTGCACTATTCCAAGGTGGAGACAAGCCAGGTGGCAACAGATACAGAAATTGCAGGTGGTAAATTTCTCAAACTCCCAGAAGTTCAAAGACACTTCCAGAGCTTAGACCCCCATCCATCGTGGAATCATATTTCTGAACGCACGTCCCCATTTTCTGCTGTCATCACGCCAAACATAGGTCACACAGACCTTCGTGCTATCAACGCTCAGAAGCCAAAATTAATAGTGGGGCATAAAGCAGCTCACAGCCTCCCCCGAGACAGGAACTCCTCCGAGACAGTCCACTCTCTGGCTGCAGTAGAAGGGATTCCTTCGAGGAAGAATGGCTTTGAGAGTTTTATAAGAAAAATCTGGTATTACGACTGAGCAGCGTTAAAGGCCACAGATGGGAGGTAAATTCTGTTTTATCAAATGATGATGCACATTTCGCAGGCATTTGATTGCATTAATTCATGCCCAAGGTGCATCAAATCCACTAAAACAAATGCCAGAAGGCGGCTGTGTATCCCCTCTGCCATACAATCGGTTGTGTTGCAATTGTGCCCCCACCATCAGATAAAGACAGACAAGCCGCACCTCTCCAACAGTGGGTTCCTGTTCTCCCAAGCCTACGATTAAGATGCAGTCGGCCTGTCGGATACAACGCTGCGTCCACGGAGTCAGGGTGCCGTCCGACTGGTAGAGCACGATACGGTGAATATCCTCCTGCTGCCCCAGCCAGCTAGATAGCCTGTACTCATGAATACTGGGGGGGACACAAAAATAAAAACTGCCATCCATTCACAGCAAGAATTCTGCCAGAGTGGAGAACTGAGCCCAAAGGTAAGAAGCTGTAAATGGAAGCCGGGGTCACCCAAGTGTATTTTAAAATGGGACTAATGACCAAGGACTAAAATCTAACCTAGCTCAGAGAGAGAGAGAGAGAGAGTGAGTGAAGGAATCTGTCCCCCCACCCACTGCTGGAAGCCCGCTCAGCTCCATCATCACCAGAATTCTGGAAAAATGAAGCCGAAACTTTCCTTCCTGCATCCTCCAAGTTACATGTGTAACTACAAAACAACAGATACCTGCTGAATCAGACACAGACCCACAGAATGCTAGAACTAGAAGGGACCTTGAGAGATCATCAAGTCCAGGCCCCTGCCCTCACGGCAGGACCAAGCACCATCTAGACCATCCCTGACAGGTGTCTGTCCAACCTGCTCTTACATATCTCCAGGGATGGAGATTCCACAACCTCCCTGGGCAACTTATTCCAGTGTCTAGCCACCCTGACAGGCAGAAAGTTTTTCCTAATGTCCAACCTAAACCTCCCTTGCTGCAATTTAAGCCCATTGCTGTTTGTCTTATCATCAGAGATTAAGGAGAACAATTTGTCTCCCTCCTCCTTGTAACATCCTTTTAGATGCTTGAAAACTGCTATCATGTCTCCTCTCAGTCTTTTCTAACCTAAAACAAGCCCATTTCTTTCACTCTTCCCTCATAGGTCATGGTTTCTAGACCTTTAATCATTTTTGTTGCTCTTCTCTGGACCTTCTCCAATTTCTCCACATCCTTCCTGAAACGTAGTGCCCAGAACTGGACACAATACTCCAACTGAGGCCTAATCAGTGCAGAGTAGAGCAGAAGAATTACTTCCGTGGGTATCCATATCCCTGGATATGAATGTAGACAACTGCAACTCATGTTTTGCAGATATGGATACAAATTTTGTATTTTGAGCCTTGTAAATTTGCTGATATCTGCTTTATATCCATAAGTATCTGCATCTGTGGACGTGGATATCTGCAGTTCAGGACAGGGTAAGACTAACATGAGTCAGACATTTCATTTGTCTGTCAAAGTCATGACATTTCATGATGTTTTTATAAATGAATGAAAAAATCAAGCAGTTATTTCAAAATCTTACACTTGACAACTGAAAAACGGGTCTGTGAAAAAGAAGGTTAAAAACCAACTTCGCTCTATTTTAAAAAGTTAGTGGGCCTGATTCTTTTGGGATGGGAAGGTATGTTTCACCCAATGGTATTACACTCCCCTCGCCCAAGGTGTGGTTTCTAGACAAGCGCCTGTTGGGGCTTCCTTAGCATGGCTCGGGGAGCAGTGGGCCAAGGGAAGCGAGTACCTGTCCAGTGCAGCAGAGCCCAGCCGCTGTCGGATATTCTCACTGGTGAGCAGCAAAGCAGGACCTACGAAAACACAAATCAGCGTTGTGCAGGATGCCTGCCGGCAGGCTGACACACTGGTCAGCGCAAAGAGCACACTCACGCTGCCCTCCCAAAATGTAACGCGCATGCACCCTCCTTCAGGATCCGAAGGGACCACGCGCGGACAGTGATTCTCAGGCCACGGCTCAGGCAGGGCTCAGCTGCAACCCTCAGGTTTTTGTTACTCCAGTTTCCAGAGCCACCCAGATCTTCTTGTGTGATGCACCAGGCCTCCTCCAGAAGCAATACCACCCAGCTGCATCTCACAAAGGCACTCCCGCCTAGCGTGGCAAGGCCATTAAAACGATGAGAAGACCTGTGTCCCACGGCCAATCTGTGAGAAAACTCTGCCGTAACCTCCCTCCAGCCAGAGGCCTGGTCCACATAGGAATTTAGGTCAAACTTAATCACATTGGTTCGACTTTTAAAAACGAGTCCACACCAAGCCGGTTCTGTCAGCTTTCAGGGCCGAGAAAGTCGATTTCGGGACTCCTGCTTCTCAAAGAGAAATGAGAAACGTGACCTGGCATGGCTGACTTGAGGGCAGTGCAGATGCAGCCCTGAGCAAGTTGATGTTCTTGGCCTTGGGGAGGTGTCCCAGGGTGCCCTGTGGTGACCACGCTGGCCAGGACATTCAACTCCGCTGCTCTCCAGAGGCCCAGGAAAATTTGCATTTCGCTTCCTGTGCCACCAGCGTGGTGAGCAGACCTCAGAGCAGGCCACACACCTGACCGCGAATGCTTGGGGCTGCAAGGGAGCCCCAGCATGGAGCGAACGTGCAGGAGATCCTGGGCCTCAGCACGGGGGGAGGAAAGGACCCAGCTCAGGCAGAACGACGACGCAGCCAAAGGAACGCTGATCTCTCTGCCAAGTGGCACAGGGCACATGGCAAAAGGACACGCCAGGGATGCCCAGCAGTGCTGCGTGGAAACAAAGGAGCGGAGGCAGGTAAGCCAGAAGGCAAAGGGGGCAAACTGACAGTCTGGGTCAGCATGGGATTGTAGAGGGGTCTGACCCAGGCTGTGGGTTCCTCCCAAGAGGCTCCCCGGACAGCACCGTGGAGGAGAGTGCCAACGAGGGAGAGGAGAAGGGTCAGCAGGCGAGCGGAGGAGCCGATGGCACCGAATGCCAGGACCTTGTTTACCTTTGGCGACAAGCCCGTTCTCCCAGGACGCCGCGTGGCCAGGCCCGGGGAGGGGAGGGGGCACCTCGGGTGAGTTCACGTAGTGATGCTGTAAGTGGGTTAAGGCGGCTGCCACTCTGCCCTTGCAGCGGGGGCTCCCAGAACACGGCAGCCTCAGAACCATCCCTCAGGTGAGCAGCAAAGCGCTCCTCTTTCCCACAGACTGCTCTGCCTTGTGTCCGCCGCGGCTGACCGCAGCTGGAGCGTTGCAAACCCCGCTGCCGATGCCTGCACCGGGGCTACTTCACGCGCATGCGCCTGCACTTGTCCTGGGGGCACTCCAGGCGCTGGGAATGCTCCCAGCAGCGGTGCCGTTGCCTGCACCGGAGGCGTTTCAACGCCCGGTGCCACTGCCACCCTTCGGGGCGTCTGCAAGGGAGGTGTCGAATCCGGCGCTGTACGCGTCCAGACAGCTGTTGCTGTTGCCGAACGTGGAGGCGCTGGGAGCCCCGGAGGGGCTAAAGTCAACGTCGGCGCCTGCAACAGGTTCACAGTCTGCGAAATTGGCACCGATGCCATCTCCGTTGTGCTCAGAGTCACTGGGGGACATCGCCATGCCAATTGTGCTGGTGACAAAGGGACCTGTGGTGCCGGGAGGGGGAACCCTGGAACGTCCGCAGCCGTTAAGGCTATCAGGTCCCTTACAACATGAAAGGTCTCCGGGGCGGAGGGCTGCATATCCTGCAGGGTTCTTTCTGTCCCTAGCGCCAGTATGGCCTCGGTCTGGTCCCCGTCTTGCCATGACTGGCCATGGGACTTAGTAGCTGAGTGCCCCTCCTTAGGGCGCACCTTGCAGCTCGTTTTGTGAGGGGATCGGCCCCTCCGGTCCTTAGATCCCTTCCCTGAGGGAGACTGCGACCAGTGCCTGGAGTGCTTAGCCTTCACCTTGGTCGGTGCACAGGGAGCTTCCCACTCCGCAGAAGCGGCACCGTGCGCCGACTGACTGTCCTCCGGTGCCGGAGGCTGCAGGGAGGACTCCATTAATAATCTCTTCAAGTGAGAGTCCCTCTCTCGCCTTGACCTCGGTTTAAACCCCCTGCAGATCTTGCAGGTTTGGGTACAATGCGCTAATCCAAGGCACTTTAAGCAGGAGACGTGGGGATCTCCGCAAGGCATAGGTTTGAGGCAGGACTGGCAGGGTTTAAAACCTTGCGGTCCTGGCATCCCCTCCCCAGCCGGGGAGGGGGAAGATAACTATAGTCCAACTATTCACAGGGTAACTACTGAAATAAACACTATTCACACACACAGTGACGAACAACTAGCTAAGGGAAGACTAAAAGTCTAACGCTCCAACTGCTGTGCGGGCGGGAAGAAGGAACCGAGGGGCGGAGGGGCCAGCAGGGGTATATATGCGCTGTTCTATTGGCGCTGCTCCAAGGGGCTCCCTGCTGGCCCTAAGGGTACTGCTGAGGGAAAAGCTCCGAGATCCGTGCACACGGCGCGCACACACCTAATTGGAATGGACATGAGCGATCACTCGAAGAAGAACCTTTGCGCTTCCCTCGCGTTGCGGCTTCCTCCGCAGAAATAGCCTGCAGAGGGGCACGCGTTGCAGGAAGGCCAACGGCAACTCCCCAAAGCAGGCTGGGAGCCACGGTGTCACTTGGCCCCAATGCCCACTGTTCCTAGCTTAACTTTTCCTGATCCCCCAGAACTGAGAAGGAACAAGCCCCCCACTAGAAAACAAGGAGAGAAACCAACGTAGGCTGAAGAGCACCTCTACACCTTCCCGAGCCCCGTGACCAAGAACGGAGACACGCCTACGCCTCCGGCCCTCTGAAGGACACTCTTGTTCAGAACAGCAGCTCCCTGCTTGAAGCACCCCTGTGACCTCAACAGCTACTGCATGTTGCTGGCTGAGTTCTCCTGCCCCTCAGGAATCAGAGGGCTTGCCCTGTACCCTGGAGTTCGTCCAATTGCATTAAATGCAGGAGAGAAAGGTTTAATTAAAAGAAGCAATAATTACAGTTTTTAAATCATGGGAAAAGACTTTCACGACAACAGGATTTTACAATAATAAAATGCCTCCCTGTGCCCTTCCTGTGCAGTTTCCCTTCCACATCCAGCAGCACCCTGCTTCGCCAGACACAGCGGCAGACAGCCTCGCCGAGGCTCTGCTGGACGTTACAATTCACAGCGATGAGCTCTTACCAATAGCGCTGAGCGCATGTTTGAGTTCCAAAGTGAAGGCCGTAAGTGGCACCTCTTCAGACACTGGCATGATTGCTACGGTGGAGAGGTTGCTGGCCGAGTTTCCAGCATCCCATTTGCTGCCACTGGTATGCAGCCCAAGGGGATGACCTGCCAAAAACCAATATTGAATTAGCCACCAGAAAGCTGCTGCCCTCTTGGCACCAGGTCTCCTCTTCAGCTGTCGGGATGCTGGGAAACAGCTACTGAATGCCTGGCTCCAGGAGACACGCAGCAGTGGCCATTTATGCCAAGGATTGCGCACGATTCTACTCTAGACGGGGGGCACAAGGGGCCTACAGGACAGCTGAGGTTGTTTTCTCTGCTAGCTACATCTCCCAAGAGGCCCACTGGGGAGAGAGGCTGGAGGCAGAAGGGTGGACACCTAGGACAGTGCTTGCCTGGAGCTCACGTAGGTCCATGCCAACAGTAATGGGGTCTAGATTCCTTGTCAGGCCTGAAGGGGTCATCCGGGGAGTCTCCTCCTCTAGCGGTGCAGCTCCCCTACCTGGAGACAATGGGTGTCACCCACCCCAGGAGGGGAACGCTCCAGGGCCCTGCTGGCATTTGCACAGCTGAGGCTAGGGCACCTTGGGCTGCGTGTAAATGCAAGATTTCCTGACGCCAAGGAAGTCCGTGCTGGGAGCAGCTGTCCTGCATTTTACTGGAA